ATGATGAACGTACAAACATATATATACATATATATATATATTAAGAATGTTTGCTCTTCTCTGTCATCCTGAGGCCACCGGGCGGCTGTGAGCCCGGGTGCGAGGTCCCTATCATCGCTGCTTGCAGCTTTAATTATTATTATTATTATTACTTTTACTACTAATAATAATAATACTAGGATCTAAGGAATAAACATAAATGTGTAATTTAAACTAGTACCTATTTAAATATGTACATTGATCTAATAAATAAGCACTTGTACGCAATATTAGGTTCTTCTATCGAAAAAAAAAAATCTAACAAAAGTAAATCAATTGCTTTAAAATGTCAAGTTAACTACAAAAAAATGCATAAACCCGTTGTAACTTGGAACTGTAAAGTTGACAGTATCGGTTTAAAAAATTATGCACAGTTAATTTCCTTACTAATTTCAAGCTAACGGCTTTACACATTTTAATAGTCAACTAATCACTTTTAGAATAGTGTACAACAGTCAAGCTGAGAAGTCAATATTTGAATGGGGGACCCCCATAGACGGCTCTTGAGGAGAACAGTTCCTCAATATTAAAATGAGTAGTAGTATGTTTTAAAATGGTAAAGAATAAGCACCAATAGCCACCTGATAAGTACAAGCATTTAATAATAAGGTTAATTCTAGGCTTTTTATACAATAAATATTAAAAATGGCTTGTTATATTGTGTACAAAAACCTGAGGCTCATTAAAGCATGCAGAAAATCTCAGGATAATCAATCAAATGCGAACTCTAGTTTTATCAAATAACACCATCCCAAAACATGCTGGAGTTCTTTCACTTGTAGACACAAGTGAGAGTTATATATCATGAGTCAAGGCAGACATTTAAATCTCCTTCTGATCACAGTCCTCTACAGGAGCAGCCTTTTACCATTATTGTCCAGGAACAGGAGTGAGCGTAGTGTTGAGGAGTGTGAGGGTCATCTGCGCAGCCAGAGCCAGCCGTTGAGAAGACAGGCAGACACTAACAGAGAGAAGAGCAGCAGCTCCGTCTGTCTGTGCTCAGCACTCTGCCTCTCCAGACCTGCGATCCTCCTGCTCATCTTCACCACCTTAACCAATCAAAGCACAGCTAGCCAGAGTCTGCATTCATACACGTACAGTACATCACAAAACTGCTCTTCCACAGTGATTTCTTCAACAATAATAATTGATTAAAAAACTAAATGTAACATTTAAAGGGCACCTATGATGCAAAAATCAACTTTTGGAAGTGATTTGAACAGAACTATGTGTCAATATAGCATGTACACATTCAAGTTGGTATGATATAAACACAACCAGTCTCTTTTTCAAAATTTCCTGAGGCTAAAATCTATAACAAAAGAAAAGAATGACAAAGTGCTGAAGAACTAACCTGCCTGCGGAGCACCATGAACTCAACAGCAGTACCAGCATCCTCTTCAGGACTGAGCCAGACCTCCTGTTGGACACTGCCACACACACATACACACATGCACACATTAACTTACTCCTTTAGACCAACAACCTACTCACCTAATTGAATAGCCATCTTCAACACAATCTGTTGTGACAACAGTAAAACCTCAATTGATGCTTAACAGAGCAAGACCATTTTTTCCAGTATTTCCGATTATATCTTTTCTTCTGGAGAAAGTCTTATTTCTTCTGTGCTACTAGTACTAATACTACTGCAAAATAAGATGATTAATAAAACTAGTTTAATATTTTATAAATATTTTTTTAAATAATAAAATTTCATTTAAAATAACTATTACTATTACTTTTGTCATTCTAGCAATCCATGTTTTTCACACTTCAAATAATATTAATGTTTTGTTGTAATGTTTTATTACACATTGTAGCTGGTTGATTTAATTCAAGTCTTACAACTCTTATTACTTTTTAAATCCATTCGATTATGATTTTTGCCAACTTAAAATTAAAGATTCTAATGTTTTTCACAATCTAGCTGGTTAATTTAGTCTTAGAATCAGATGCTTTGTTTCCAGTGAAGACTTAGAGAAACTTGTTCATGCTTTTATCAGCAGCAGGGTGGATTACTGTAACGGCCTCCTCATTGGCCTTCCCAAAAAGACAGTCAGACAGTTACAGCTCATCCAGAACGCTGCGGCCAGGATTGTGACGAGAACCAGGAAATCAGAGCACATCACACCTGTCCTCAGGTCTCTACACTGGCTCCCAGTTACATTCAGAATAGAGTTTAAAGTATTATTACTGGCTCAATACATTACAGATATGCTGATTGAATACAAACCCAACAGATCACTCAGATCTTTAGGATCATATAAACTAGAAGTTCCAAGGGTTCAGTCAAAGCAGGGTGAATCAGCTTTCAGCCACTATGCTCCTCGCTGCTGGAATCAGCTTCCAGAAATGATCAGATGTGCTCCAACATTAGGCATGTTCAAATCAAGACTGAAAACACATCTGTTTAGCTGTGCCTTTACTGAATGAGCACTGTGCTGCATCCGACAGATCGCACTATTGTTTTTTTTTCCTTCTTTTTCATTATCTTATAAAATTGTAACACATTTTTATCGGTTTTATTTATTTTTTATTCTTATTTTTATATATTTTTTTATTATTTCTTTTCATTTTCTTACACTTGTCTCTTTTTTCTTATTTATGTAAAGCACTTTGAATTGCCACGGTGTATGAAATGTGCTATATAAATAAACTTGCCTTGCCTTATAAAAGTTAAAGGGCTAGTTTTGCAAAAAGGGTTTGGCTTACAAATCAAGATATTTTAGATGAAAACCGACAGCTCTCGGACTCTATAGAAATATTGACAATAGACATTTTTACAAGTATTAGACATGTAACTTTAGATTTCTGATAAAATGATCTTCTTTCAAAGGCTCATATTTTGTTGGAGCCATTTAAGCTGGAAAACATTTTAGATTTTATTTTTTAAAGGATCAAACTTGGGTTTGGATTCATAAAAAAACTGTATGGCAAAAAAATATACAGTATATAAAAATATCTAAATTTTCTAGTAAAAGTACCTGGAGAAATTATTTACACGTTTATACAAAGAATATGTTTAACCCCAGTTGGCCTCAGTACGATATACCAAAGTGCATCTACTTTGGGCAACAGATGAAAGACATAGAGGCTCTATTATGCTTTTTTTTTTTTACTATAAAAAAAACTAAATGGATTCTGGGATGCTGTACATGGAGTTCCAAAAGATGGTACTTGAAAAAAGAAAAACAGAAAACCCCTTTAATATATCTTTTTAGAGTGAACTTGAATGGGATTTAAAATATTGTGTTTAATAAAAGGTTAAGCCTCATTTCTTATTTCTAACCGGAGTAGAAAATAATGGGAGTATATTATTATAAGTAAATTATGGAAGTATTTTTAAATAAATGAGAGTATGCTCCAAGATTTGACCTTCATATTAAACAAAATGCATGCAGAATATTGAACATACAGTTTAAAAAACAAATGTCACAAATTCTTGTAGATCTGGAACATTAATTCAGACTTAAAGTAAACCCTATGATTCACTTTCACCTTGTCCTGCTCTGATCAGGTTGAACCTCTACAGCCTGTGAGGGACGGTTTTCTGGATAACCAAACCTTAAAAACAAGACAGAGACAGACCGAGCAGTCCACATTGAACATCAGTTATGTGAACAAGTCCGTTCAAAAGGAGCAGGAAACAGGAACTAAAAGCACAAGCACTTCACATGCTTGGTTAAAAGCGGTAGCGCTGAATTCAACCAAAGCTCAAAGCTCTGATGTGAATCTGCTGACATGAAAGCTGCATCAGCTCTGAAAGCCTGGCAAGAAGCAAACAGGAGGGCTTTAAAGCTCAAAACAAATGAAGCTGAGTATCCCAGGTTAGCTCTAGAGCCATTGAAAAATATATAAGCGAGCATTATAACAAATGCTCAAAATATCAATAACAGAATAGCAATCAGATGCGTTTTCCAAATCCTTTCAGCTTGTTTTTAAATGAAATCATGCGTATACATTTTCATTGAATGCTAATTTGTTTTATGTTCTTCACATTTTAGTTGGTTACACTTAAAGGGTTAGTAAACCCAAAAATGAAAATTGTTAATAATTGCAAACTATGATGTTTTAGATGAAATACGAGAGCTCTCTGACTCTCCATAGACAGCAATGTTCCAAAAAACATCCTCAAAACACATTATATGACGTCAGTGGTCGAATCTGAATATGATCAAGCTAAAAGAACAAATTTGTGCACACATAAAACAAATATAACAACATTATTTCTCAGTGTCCGTATACATGCTCGTTCATGAGAGAATCAGTGATCCGAACTTAAATATTTACCTTATATGTCTTTATTTCACATTCTTCGCAGACCCAAACACGAACGTTTCAGCTTAATGCCTTTCCCGTTCTGAAATCGTTTTCTTACTCTGGCCTTTTATTCCACAGTCAATCACATTACATCATTAATTGAATAGCTGCACAATAATTAAAAAACAATCCAATCTCATTTTGTTTCCTATATAGCTAGTAACATAAGCAACCCAGGCTCATTGTGGAAACGTAGTCCCGGCGGGTACGTACGGCTGCAGTATTTGCTTTTGCGAATCTGCGAGAGGCCGCTGTTGTGCGCTTTTTCGCATCTCAAACGCCTCTCGCGTAAACCCACCAGAGGCCGCTGTCCGACTGACTGGATAATTGACTGCACGACCGGCCATTCGGCTGACCCGCCTTCCTCCTTCCCTGAACCCAACCAATTTTACCGATTGACCCCCCCCGCCTGCTCGCTTCCCTAAACCCGAGCAACAGTTTACAAAAGCCGTCCAAAAAAAGAAATGCCCTGATTTTTTTTCTACCACGTTTTCGGATTTCGCCGCGTTCTCACCCGGTTACGAAACTCGTTCTCTTAATTTTTGGGATTCTGTTTTCCCGAGCCTGCCGATGTACACAGTGAGCTGAGTGGACAAACGGGTTGCAGCGGGGAAGCCCTCTACATGGAGGTAAGCTGTTGTCCGGCCGGCCGGCAAGCGCAAAAGCGAACAGCGTCACACCGCCCCGTAGCGTTCGCTTGAAAAAAATAAATGCAGCCGTACGTACCTCCCGGGACGTATTCCGCTGTCTCCAAAACGTCTGCGGGACTACGTTATCAGAATGAGCTTGGGTTGAACATAAGGGATGTCTCCTCCGCCTACAAAAACATCATTTCCATATTCAGAGTAGAGATGCAACGATTAACCAATTTCACAGCGCTTTAATTCGTCACAGTTAATTAATTGTAAGGCTTCTCAACACGGCATTTCTGCATGGAATGAAAGTGCCGCAACTTAAAGTTCTGCCTTCTGTGCACTAGTTTAAAGTTCCGAGCTTGTACACCGATGCTAATGCCCACGCACAATGGATTTAGTATGTATGGCTGAAGCTATTAACTAAGGGCCGTTTCATGTCACGTCTTTTGCTCATTAAGTTCATTATTTCTTTTCTTGCGTGTATATTGGGAGCAACGTGCACGCGGCGTGCGATGCATTCACGCTTACCAGGCACACCTATTTGAACGAATGGTGCGAGGCAGGGCCGGAGTGGGACTCATTTTCAGCCCTGGAGTTTCAAGCCAGACCGGCCCACCTCAGTTCATGACTGTCTATATTAAAATAAGGTAATTTCCAATTCAGTTTCTAGTGACACTATCACGTCTTTTTCAAGACAACAGCTGCTTTAGAAATTCAAATGTTCAAAAGCCCTAACAGTATTATATGTCTTAACAATAAAAATGAAAAAAAAAAAAAAATATATATATATATATATTATTAATTTTCCCGGTTGAGATTCGAACACGGGTCAGACGGCGTAGTAACGCAACGTGTTTACCACTGGTCCACTATAGCACTAGTGCAGGGAGCATAAAAAAAAAGTATTGGACTGTGACCTGCAAGACACAGTATTACTTTATATTGATGGCTTAATCTTTTTCTCCCCTTTTTAGATTTCTGATCTAGTTATGTCAGATTTATTAATGTAGTGAATCATCTGATTTTCATTGAGCAGATGTATTATTCATTTATATTAATTCGAATTCGCTGTTTGGGGTCGAATGATGATAGTTAACGTTTCATCATCATTAACGTTAGTTAACCTGCAGGCTGCATTTTGCTCACGGGGCTGCGAAAAAAAAAAAATAAGAAGAGCGGCGCTGCGGTAAAATAATGAATAAAAAGAGTGAAGGTATGGTCAAATAAAGAAATAGATGAAAAAAGTGTGACTGCTGAGAGTGCAAGCAGCTAGGGACACCGGCCCTCATGGCCAAAATACGGACCGGCCCACTGGGAATTCTCCCGGTGCTCCCGATAAGCCAATCCGGGCCTGGTGTCATGAGTCATGTGACAAGAAAAAAAGAATACAAAATGAAAATTACCAAACAAGTTCATAATGTAGTTGATCAAAAGTGTCTTTCAGACAGAGGTTTAGCAGCCTTTGACTATGTTTGTTCTCTTTAGAAGGTAAATACTTAGCTAATTTGTAGCTCAGGTTTACATTAGACAAATACTATTTTTTATTTATTCTTATTTATTTATTGCCACATTAACAACTTATGGCTAATTCATGCCTGAAAGATATACATAAAATATTACATGACAAAAACTAATTCGTATTACAATAAAAAGTTACTAAGATAAATATATAGGATATAAATAAATAAAATTCACATAAAAATATATTCAAAGTTACATATAATTTTTTAGTTCAATTCTTGATAAATAATTTAAGATTCTTCCTGGTGGTACCTTTTAAAAATCTCCATCAAAGTGCTCTCCTTATATTGGTTTTCAAACTTCCACATTCCAACAAAGTATGTTTGATGTTAAGAGACAGCCTGGCAGTAATTACATTTAGGTGGTGCTTCGTTATTCAGCAAATACAAACGAGTCAACCAGGAATGTCCAATTGGACAATAGTATAGACAGTTTGATCATGCCTGGTTTCAAAATTATAATTTGCTAAGTGTCTTTCATTAATTTTTGGGGTCATTTCATGTAATTTATTATTTATGCAGTTGTCCCATTTTCTTTGCCATGTTTCATTTATATACAAATTAATTGTAGGTTTCAAGTCCTCAGGAGGAATTAAACATTGTCACTTTCAAGGAGATGGCCTGTTTTGCTGCTTCGTCTGCCAGTTTGTTTCCATGTAGTCCTGGCCTGGGGCCTGTTTCAGTAAGGAGGTTCAACCAACTTGAAGTTTAAACTTGAACTCTGAGTTGATTTACAGAGAGATTAAAAACTCTCTGAAAAGTTTTTGGTTTCAGAACAGCTGATCTGAGTTGGGTCAATCAACTTGGACTAGACTAACTTAGAGTTAAGCGTGCACACCGAGACTATTAAATGCCATTATCAATGGAGTGCAGATATTACGAGCATGGCAACATCTGAAATAAGAGATCAGCATTTCTGTCTCCAGCTGAACTTAATCTGCTCATGCAAAGTTTTAGCAAATATGAGCATATATTTTAAAAGCAACACCACTGTATCAGTGAGTGTACAGTGGTATAGTGAAAAAGAGACAGTTAGCGTGGAAAAACAGCAGCTCAAATTAATTTTCAAAAGTTATGTGGATCATGACATTTCCATCAATTGTTTTTTATGCGCATATCTAAAATAAGCATTACAATAGGTGGCTGGAAATGTAAGGCTAAGGTGAGAAATACCGCTTCGTTTTTAAAAAAGGGAGGAGACCGACAGAAACTCAGGGTTTAGAGAATAAAACCTGCACCAGACCAGGTTAGGTTCACAAAGTAAGTTACCACGGTAACTGACTCTGAGTTAAAGTTACCTCTCTTTCAGAAGCAGACTTGACTTACCCTGCTTTCTCGAGTTTGACAAACCTGCCATTCTGAAACGGAAAACCCAAAGTTTCTCTCATTTCAGGGTTAAAATACTCTGAGTTTTCACTTTACCTCCTTTTTGAAACGAGCCCCTGAAATCCAACAGAAGATAATGTTGAATTTCTTATTTTCTAGCATAGTCATTTTCTTTATATTCATGGAAATTATGGGGTGATAAGACTTTTGAAGATTCAAGTGTTTGAAGACAGGATTCCTATTTATTTATTTATTGTTCTGTCATTTATTTTCAGTGTTAAATTATTTGCTTAAATGGCAACATTTTACTTATTTTTAAGTCCAAAAAGAAATGGACTATAATTTTTTTTATTATTATTTTGTTCTCTATTATTTATTTACAGAGCAGCAATGAATAACATTTTAAAACATAAGTTTTTATGGGATTTCCCCAAACAAGTAGTGTTTTAAAATTAATAAATGCATAATTGTGATAACCGTAACTATAAACATACAACAAAAATCTATAGTCATTGCATCTCTAATTCAGAGAGTAAATTTGTTCAAAGAATCACATATAAAACATCATTACTAACTCGTTCATATATTCGCCAACTGGAATAACAAAAATCCCAGAAATCCGAACCAATAAAAATACATTCTCATATAATATCAATGTTAATCATTATCAGTGACTACGTTTACAGTACATGGACATCAGTAATCGAATTATACGCCTTAATCTGAATAACACAATACTATGATTAAGGTGATTACATGAGTTGCTTTTTGAATGTTCTTTTCATGATCCCGTTTTACATGTTATAGCACATAATAAGATTAAAGTCATTGCTTCACCACGCTATCCACATTTCCTCTGGAGTTTCATGTAATTTCAGGTGTTTTATTCTTAATTTGTCAACTTTAACTGTAGTTTGACACTTTCACTTTCATTCAGGAACATTTTATGCATGCTCCCCGTGACAAACGAGATATTGGATGCGAATATGAACTGCTGGAAGAGTGTTGTTTTAATGGAATTTGATAACGAACGCCGAATGGGGAAAAAAGAAATGCAGGTTTCTTCGCTGAGTCAGTAGGCGCAGAGAATAATGTCAAACAGCCCTGTGTATGAAATATCCTATCACAAAATGCAGCAAAAATCCTTCACAACGGTAATAGTTTGATTTGCGGTGTTTACATGTCTGTATTGCACTTCAATAATGTGACTAAAATAGGAATACTCCACACGTCTTAATTTGATTTCTGTTTTGTTTGATTATGACCTTAATCAGATTAAAATGAACCAAAAATCGCTTTTACATGGTAGACTCTTAATCAAAGTATTGTCTTAATTCTATTAAAATCGTATAATTGGCATCCATGTAAACATACTCATTAAGAATCAATGCGCCCTATACTGACACTGAGGAGAAGGAACTGTTGAATAAAGCTGTTATCTTTGTTTTGTGTGCGCACAAAATATTGTCGTGGCTTGATATTATTTCGATGATCTGTTTCGAGGATGTTTTTTGGTATTTTACTGCACTTTGAATGAGTCTTGCTGTCTATAGAAGATGAAGCAGCCCTCAGATTTCATCTAAAATATCTTTATTTGTGTTTCAAAGATGAATGAAGGTCTCTAGGATGTTTTGGAATGACATAAGGGTGAGTAATTATTGACTGAATTGACACTTCTAAGTGAACTAACCCTTTTATGTTTTATAAAACATTTTCATTGAAAAAAATCTTCCGAAAGTAAAGCCACTGACAATGTGGAAAACGTAAATGCTTGGTTTTAAAGCGCTCCACATGCTTAGTTAGTGAATTACCAGTGAATTCAACCAAAGCTCTGAACCAAAACCAAACAATGGGACAGTAAAGCTCAAAGCAAATGAAGCTGGTCCCGGGTTAGCAAGAGCGCAGGACGTGCAGGATGAAGACCCGTGTCACCTGGAGGAGTATTTTTGGGTGACGGACTGCAGGAGTCTCTGCGACGCCTGCTGGCCCAGCTCTCTGGCGGCCTGGAGGATGCTCTGTGGGGACAGCAGGTTGGGTGGGATGGAGGGAGGTCCCGGGGGCTTTGTCTGGGACGGGGCTGAGAGCGTGACAGGTGGACGTCCAACACTGCGGCTATTGTGGACAGAGCAGGAAAGGCACGGACACAAAAGGAGCTTCATTTGAATGGGTAAGTGTTCAAAATAAGAGATAAGAAATGAAATTGAGCGTTAATGCAAACTGAACACATGTAGTAATCTATTCTGCTCTCTAGTGGATGTTCGGTGGAAGTGAGGCATGTATATGAAGAAGGAGATAGGCGCTGATCAGGGGAAATTCAGCTTTAGTGTAGCTGACACAATGGAAGTAGTTTAAAACTACATATCATACAGGATGTGATCCTTGTTTTAGATTTTAAAAGGCTGGATTTTTATGTTTTTAAAATATTTTTTTTACTAGATTGCAGGACCATAATATAGTAAAACTCTGACCTGTTGCAGGACTTAAAATACAGACAAAGATTTACAATACTCTCGCTTAAACATTGATGTTTACAAATCAATGTCATGCAACATTACACTATGTGTCAAATATAATTTTTTCTGCAAAATCTTATAATGTCATGTTGCCAAATAAGAAATAAACACATGCATGCATGCACGCACGCACGCACGCACACACACACACACACACATGCACAATCTCTAACTGTGAAAAAGGGGTTAATTTTTGCACAAGAATTGCCCACCAGTTGACCTGAACCTACAGAGTCTTAAATTATAATCATATCTGTTATAATGATATGATCCCTGCACAAGTCTAAAGTACACTTCAGTGTTTACATGTATGATAATTGACCATATGCAAAATAGACTTAATTATTTCAGGATAATTGAAGCTGAATGCAAGATTATACAAATACAAAGATTATGTTTTAGATATACAGTGTGGCAAAAAAGTATTTATTGAGCCACCAATTGTGCAAGTTCTCCCACTTAAAAAGACAAGAGAGGCCTGTAGTTTTCATTATGGGTATACCTAAACTATGAGAGACAAAATGAGGGGGAAAAAATCCAGAAAATAACAGGATTTACAGGATGTAGGATATTATCCTGTAGGATATCTTCTTTGCAAATTATGGTGGAAAATCAGTATTTGGTCAAAAACAAAAAATTTTCTCAATACTTTGTTTGATACCCTTTGTTGGCAATAACAGAGGTCAGACATTTACTGCAAGTCTTCACAAGTTTTTCACACACTGTTGCTGGTATTTTGCCCCATTTCTCTATGCAGATCTCCTTTAGAGCAGTGATGTTTTGGGCAACACTGACTTTCAACTCACTCCAAAAATGTTCTAAGGGGTTGAGATCTGGAAACTGACTAGGCCACTCCAGGACCTTGAAATGCTTCTTACGAAGCCACTCTTTCATTGCCCAGGTGGTGTGTTTGGGATCATTGTCATGCTGAAAGACCCAGTCATGTTTCATCTTAAATGCCCTTGCTGATGGAAGGAGGTTTTCACTCAAAATCTCACGATAAATGGCCCCGTTAATTCTTTCCTTTACATAGATCAGTCATCCTGGTTCTTTAGCAGAAAAACAGCCCCAAAGCATGAAGTTTCCACCCCCATGCTTCACAGTAGTTACTGTATGGTGTTCTTTTGATGTAACTTAGCATTCTTTCTCCTACAATCACAAGTTTTTACCAAAAAGTTTAGTTTTTTTGATCCGGAGCCCCAGATCGAGGAAGATTATCAGTTGTCTTGTCCGGTTATGGACAAGTGTCTTATTTACTGATAACGAGTTCAAACAGATGCCATTAAAACAGGTAACACTGGAGGACAGGGAAGCCTCTTAAAGAAAAAGTTACAGGTCTGTGAGAGACAGAAATCTTGCTTGTTTGTAGGTGACCAAATACTTATTTTACTGAGGAATTTACCAATTCATTCATTAAAACTCCTACAATGTGATTTTCAGTTTTTTTTTCTTTCTCATTTTGCCTCTCATGGTTGAGGTATACCTTTGATGAAAATCACAGGCCTCTTTCATCTTTTAAGTGGGAGATTTTGCATAATTGGTGGCTGCCTAAATACTTTTTGTGCCCCACTGTAACTTCATATAATGTGTTATTACACAAAACCTGTATTTTTAAGCTTGAGTGCTCTCAAACTCAATTCCAGGAGGGCTACAGCTCTGCAGAGTTTAGTTCCAACCAACTCCAATTCACACCTGCTTAGTACGCAGTGTGAATTGTGAATTGTGTGTAAAAGTGCACTGCGCCATCGTGGCACGACGAAGGCTGTCTTATTTAAAAAAAAAAAAAAAATTCGAAGGCTTCTTCAAACGCAGCCTCAAAATGCGTCCCTCACTTCCCAGGTAATGAAGGACACAACTGGTGGATTCTTCACGGCCTCGAACATCCCAAGATTCATTGTGCGCTGATGACAGCAGGACGTTTTAAAAAGAAAACTCTGGTTTAAATGTATGAATTAAGTTTAGTTTACTTGGATATCTAAACATATGTTAAAAAACAAAAAGAGCAATAACATGTCATTATAAAGAGTGATTTTATAGACCGTTTACATTTTCATGTGAACAGTTGAAGTCAGATTCATTAGCCCCCCAGTTTATTTTTTCCCCAATTTTTGTTTAACGAAGAGAAGATATTCTTAAAACATTTCTAAACATAACAGTTTTAATAACTCATTTCTAGTAACTGATTTATTTTATCTTTGCCTTGATGACAGTAAATAATATTTTATTAGATATTGTTCAAGACATTTCTATACAGCTTAAAGTGACATTTAAAGGCTTAACTAGGTTAATTAGGTAGGTTAGGGTAATTAGGCAAGTTATTGTATAATGATTGTTTGTTCTTTAGACTATCTAAAAATATATAGATTAAAGGGGCTAATAATTTTGACCTTAAATTTGTTTTTTAAAATTTAAAACTGCTTTCATTCTAGCTAAAATAAAACAAATAGGACTTTCTCCAGAAATAAAAAATATTATCAGACATACTGTGAAATTTTCCTTGCTCTGTTAAACATTATTAAAATTCAAAGGGGGGCTAATAATTCTGACTTCAACTGTATACAGTACTTTGTTTTGCCTTCAGATCGCTTAAAATCAGTTTTAAAATCACGTCGAAAAAAGTCATTATAAATTTTATTAGTGCTTATTAACAGCAGCTGTTACGGTTGCCTGGTGTCGAGATCCGTCCTCTGTAGGCTAGATAGTCTCATTTCAGAATGTTTGGTTCAGCCTATGTGGACTTCGAAGGACTCACCTTTGAAGTCTGAAATGAGACAGTAATAAGCTCCATCCCCAAATGGCACATCAAACACTATGTACTTATGGACTATGTACTTATGCACTTACACCCCGTACAGCATAGTATATGTATGTAGTGTTGTTCCAAAAGGAACACTAATGGTTATTTTACTAAGCGAAAATTCAAACTGTTTCCTTGATGAGGTTTGACAGTTGTCATATTAGTGGAATACATGACCAAACTACTAAATAATACCTGCCATGAGTATAACCACATTCACCATCGGGAGGCAGTATAATCACTCTCGTAAGAGAATTTAGCTTTCACAATCCAAAAAAAATAAAGTTATCCAATATGTGTGCCCGAAAGCTCCGCCCCTTCTGCAACGTAAGCAAAACTGCGGTCGTTGAGTGCGTGAAGTGTCCGTTAATACACACTTCATTTTACCGGTTGAGGGAGTGCAACAACCGGGTAATTAAAGTGCACTTAGTATTTTTAGACTTTATAGTGTGAATGCACTTACACTATTTATACTACAAAATGGTGTAGAATAGTGCATAAGTATGCGATTTGGGACGCACTTAATCTCTAGTAGTCTTGAACAAGGTGTAGCTGATTACTTGTATCAGCTTAGCTTGATTAAGGTTGAAGCAAAACTGTGCAGAGCTGCTCCCCTCTAGGAATTGTGCTGGCGAACTGTGAATTATGAAATGCCAAAATGTATCCTGAATTCTAGAATCCCCCACATACTGTACGCAGGCAAGTTAGTTTTTCTAAATACATGTGAAACGCATGATCAGTTTAGACAAGGACAAATTGTTTGTACACTATTTAGTCCAGTCCACATAGTACCTACACTGAACCAGGCTGTTGTTTCACTAAAGGGGATACACAATAACATAATCTATTTAAGACAGTAAAAACAATAGGTCCCTGTGTTGACAAAAGATTGAGTGAGAGAAATATATATAAAAAAATAAAAACTCTATTTTTAAATAAGTACAAATACAATTCTTCCAGGTGTGCCTGAGTATATTTGTCTAATTTGTTCAGGTGTGCATCTGTTTATTTGTCCAAGTGTGTATGTGTATTTATATAGTGTATATACACACACCTTACACTTATACGTTGGGGCTGGGTGATAAAGCAATAAAATGTTTATCATCCAAAGCAGAAGTAAAAGAGATTTGCTGTTAAAAACTAAGCTCAGAGTCAGAACCAAATTAATAGAAAAAAATCTATGCATTTAGAAAATATTGATTAATGCAGAATGTCTAACATTTTTTCGACCCAGCTTAATGCATTACATGGGCTGTTTATCTGTTAACATGTATGTAAGCAGAACCATAGCTCCAGTTTAGTTTTGTTTTACATGCAGACAGATCAAAAAAAAAAAGTAATCAGCAAGATAACTAGCAGTGATTCGCTTCAAAGAGAACCGCTTGTCTCTGTGACTCAGTTTAAAGTCAGATAAAATAGCACTACGACCTTGACAAACAAATCTTTGTGAAACTATCCAGCTAGAAAACCATAAATTTACTGTAATACCAGTAACTAAACCATGGTATTGTGGCAGGATTGGGAGACATAGGTATGATTTTTTTTATTATTATGTTATTAATGTAGATATCTATTAAATTTATTGAAGAACTAAAGAAATATAATTACAGGTTGTTGCTGTTAAGCTATAGCTTAATTTGGTTGATGTGTTTTGACATTAAGCAGTAATTTAAAAAAAATAACAACGTTGCATTAAAAGGAAGTTAAGGAACACTTCACTTCTTTTTGAAAAAAAGAAAGATTTTACAACTCCCCCAGAGTTAAACAGTTGAGTTTTATGATTTTGGTTAATTCATTCAGGTCTGGTGAGAGCACATTTAGCTTAGCATAGTGTAGGTCATTAGCCGCATTTCCACTATCAGGCCAGTGCGAGCCAGGGCTTTAATCGGGCCAGGCCGGGCCAACAGCCCGGGAGGTTGAGAAATGAGGCCGAAATCATGTCGCGTTTTCACTGTCGGGCTAGTAGCTCACAGCGCGTCACGCAAACACCGCCAACAGAACGTCCCCGAATCAAACGTCACACAACCCGAGTGAGCGCACCCGTCCATAATATAAAGCCACAGAAAGTCTCCTTTATAACTCGATATGGCATGTATTTTATAACATTCTCGTTTTGATAGACGTCGTGTTAAGTGTTTCCGGCACAAGAGCGAGTAGCCTAATAAAATATAGCCATATTTGTTGCGCTCGGCAGCTATTCAATAAAGCTCTTCATTTAAAGTTTCATTTATAAATTTAACCACGTCATATAAAAACATAAACACTTGTTTGAGGATATAGAACACATTTTGTGTTTGGGCTTTCCCCCAATGCGTTTAAAGCTGCGCTGCGCAGGACTGAGTGACAGAAAAAAAAGGTAGGCAAGATTCTGCATTCACTTACCCAAATAATGCTCTTTTTGCGCGATTTGATTAATATCGTATCCGAATACTATATAAATATATATATTTATATATATATATATAAATATATTTCAAACCTTCTCCGGTGTTAATTGTTTTTAGAAAATATCTAAAATCTTTTTTTTTCAGATAGGTCTTTGTAAAATGAAAGTTAGGCTATATGTGGCTTTAAAACGCTTTGGCCCGATTAGGCCCCGAAAGTGACAGTGGAAACGCGACTAACCTTGGCTCGCTCGCTTTAGGTGCGATAGTGGAAACGCGGCTATTGAATCAGATTAGACCATTAGCATCTTGCCTAAAAATGATTAAAGAGTTTTTTTAATTGTCCAATTAAAAGCTTGACTCTTTTGTAGTTACATAGAGCACTAAGACAGATGGAAAATGAAAAGTTGCTATTTTCTAGGCCAATATGGCTAGAAATATGACTTATTCCAGTGGTTATGGTCCAATTCGATTCAGATTTTCATGCTAAGTTAAATGTGTTCCCGTCAGACGCGGAGATTGGCTGAATGAATTCAAAAATGGTAAAACTCAACTGTTTAATACTTGTGGAGTTAAAAAAAAAAAGGAAGTGGAGTTCAAAAAAAAGTTTTATTAAACAAAATTATATATAGAAATTTGACATTTACTGTGATACTGATTGATAAGAACAATTTTAGTTTGATTATTAACGTTAAGACATGTAAAAAGTAAAGTGGACTTACGGAGTCTGAGAGTAGGCTGTCTGTCTGGAGTGTGTGGGGGTTCCTGGGGGAGTTCGCCCAAAGCCCTGGTCACTATAAGACCTTCGCAGTGGACTCTACCAAGAAAAACCATCAGCTGGAGTTAATCATGTTATGGCAGTTCTATATTTAATTTAACAGTTATATTATATAATATATAAGAGTTACCGGTTATAATCCTGAAACAGGATTCAATTTTACTTTACCATTCTCTGATTAATATAAATTTGGGATTTGTCCAATTTGTGTGTCTGTCAGGTTGCTCTTTTGTGTAGTAAGTGAGCAGCTACGATTTATAGACATTTTACCAGTTATTGAAACATCTGGCTATGTGAGGCTTCTTCAATTTACCTGCACAGGCTCTCTGAATGCTTCCCTATCCCAGGACCCTTGGTGCACATCCCACATTGATGAAGTGTGTTTGGAGAACAGAGGACGTGGACTCAGATCAGGAGCGTCTGTTTTTATGAATGAATGAATAAAGAAAATAATTAATTAATTATTTTTTTGTAAAATACACATGACTGAACATTGAAACAGTTTAAATAATTTTGAAATGTTTCAAAAGGCAATTGATTGATATGACAGGAATGCAGAATTTCAGCAGTATTCGAGTCTTCTATGTAATTTGATCCATTAGAAATCTTGCTGATGTGATATTCAGTTATTAATAATGTTTATTAATTATGGTAATAATCAATGAGGTATTTCGAAGATGGCTAGGATTAAAAAAAAATATTATGAAACTGTATAATTGTATAGATGACATATGTACACAACAAATGTAAAATAATCTGATTATTTGCTGTGCACACAGGCAGGAAAACATATGCTGATATTTTAGTAAATAAAAAGAGCTTCGCTGAAACATGCTACCAAAATCGCAGTATGTAAGCGGAGCAAAGGAAAAAGAGAGAAAAGAAACTTAGTTCAACATTTATAAAATAATTATTTTATTTAAAATGCAGCTTGTTTAATGTTATTATATAAAAACATAATTAATGAAATAGAGCTGGCTTTTTGTTCATTTTATTTTAAAATGTATTCCACATTTACATGTAAACTACAAATAGCAAGTTTTAAATCTACATCGATATAATCTCAAGATCTAGAAAAGATTTGTACTTGTACTATACTCTTCAGGGTTTTCAAACTGAATAATCCTCCCTCACACTTGTATGCAGAGTTATTGCACATTTTTTAAAATGAAAAAAAAAGATACTCTTCAGATATTAAAGTTTAGATGTATTGGCTACATCTAAATGACATTCATAATTTTTTTTTTTTTTTATTTGTTGTAACAAGCCATGTGCTTTTTTTCACCTCATCACTTTGTTTTTGTCACTGATCTACACAGATTTCAAATAATGTTCTCTATTGTAGACTGGTTGTTGTCATGCCTATGATGATTGTGAATTGTGCTCAAGCATGCAAGGTTTTTGATTATAGAGGTAAAGTTGGTTTTATATTTGCACATTCGTTAATTTAGAACTCACTGTATTGTTTACCATGTAACTTTGAATATTCGATTGGAATTAGCATGCAAGTGTGACTTGAAAAAAAAACATTAACACTGTTTATTTGACTGTGAACAATGTTGTACTTTGATAGTCATTGGCTGCTAATTAAATGATTTAGCTATTTAGATTTTGCAAATAATACTTTTATGGAATTTTATTAATAAGGGGAAAGTCTGAATTTGCGAATATGAAACCAACTTTACCTCTATCTTTTGATTTGAGTTCTATACCATTACATAAACTTGTTGCAAAATCCAATGTGTAATTTATCAATAAAGAAACTAAGCACTAAAAACTGCCATATATAATTAATAAATGAACACAAACTAGCATAGAAAACATCTAAAATGTAATAATATTTCACATTATTTCTATTTTATTTTAGGGACGCAGCTCAAACAACTTTAAATATTCGAAATGTGTGTATACAACTTCATTAACGCAGGTTAAGTTAAGGCATTTTCACATAAACACCGGTTACCTGTCAGTGCCAGTCTGTCGGGGATGTGCATGCTGTAGGCAGCAGGCAGATCTTCAGCAGGTCTGGGATGAACATGTTCTGCTGTCTGAGCAGTTGGACCGACCCTCAGGCGCTCGGGCACGCGCATCTTCTTGTTGATGACCTCAGTGAAGTACGGGTCACTCTCGCGCATCGGCGGACCGTCACCAAAATACCCCGGAGATGCCATAACAACCCCTGGTGCCAGTAAAGGGAATTAAACCGACAGCACGGCCTAACAATAAAAGTTAAGCTGCGTACGTGAGCAAAAACAAACACACGGACTAAAACAGACGACTAATAAAGTGTGTAAAGAAAACATAAGGTAAGTTAGCCAGTATTCAAGACAGAACCTGTTTGGTTGTTATAAGTTAACGTTAGCAGCAGTCTATGACCCTTGTGTTCAGATCTACAGGTCAACCATCAAAATCCGTTCACTCATGACCTACAATATCCTAGACAGACTAAGTTACAACATAGGCGAAGCAGTTTTAACATACACTCAACTAATATATTCACATAAAGCAAACAACCGGACGGGAACATTGAACTGACACCTGTTGATAACCACTCGTGGGGCTAAATCTGTCAACTCACGCCTGTAAATGTGTTCACGGCTTATTCTTAACAGTTTGGTTTCAGGTTTAAAGCAAGACCAGTTTAAATGTACCAGCGACACATTCCCAAACAATATAAATAGCGTTTAAATGTCGTTTTGGTTTAGTAAGAGAGTTCTTTAAACTTCTTCCATAGAGCTGTGTTCAACCCACCTTCACGCGGCTCACGTCGACTGACGTACGTGACGTCATGTAGCTGCACGCAAAAGTAGGCGGTGCAAACTCTGTCAAACGATTTTATTAACGTGCTGTGCGTAGAATAATGATTTCAGCAGCAGAGACATCTCTCAGAAAATTAGACAAAAAACAACATGAGATAATAACATTATGTACAGGAGCTATTAAAACGACACCAATTGTAGTATTACAAACTGAAATGGGGAAATGTCTTTAGAAATTAGAAGAGTTCAGTCATTAGTGAGTTATTATTGGCAACATTTGAAAGGTCATAATCAAGAACATCCAACACTAGAAACACTAAAGCCGTGTTGAGAAAAAGAGAGCAGGAAAATAAAAGGACAGTGTGAAAAAAAGCAAAACAAATGAAAGTGAGTCAATTAAATTTTAGTCCTAATGTACCTTTAAAAGTAATTAAACCATGCTTACTACCAGACGCAACAGTAGGTTTTACACTATTAGAAAAAAAGAGACAAGGATGAAGAATGTAGTTTGTTTTATGTGCAGAAATATATTAATGAATATTACAGTTATGTTAAAATATATACAGATGCCTCATAGTTTAAATAGCATGGCCTTTTAAAGTTCCTAAATTCCAAGTTTCTGTACGGAAAAGGAATAATGATGAAGTGTCGGTGTATACAAGAGAAATGATTGCATTGTTATTAGAAATACAGTGGGTAGAGGAAATCAGTCATCTGTTCAGATTCAGGTAAATCGCTGGCTAGTTTACAATATAGTAAATCAGAAGGGAGACCAGACATTTTAATTGAAATAATGCAAACATTTTATAGGATTCAAATGATGGGTATAACAGTAATATTTTTATGGGTACTTTTTATCTCAAAAAGTGGACTTTGCAGTTATTCGACTCAATTTAATTATGAGGTTAAAATTCTGCATTTTACTGAGTTTTTAAGCAAAAATGTTTTGCTGAATCAGCTTGTCAGAAAGTCACACATTTTAGGTCACCAAAAACATTTTCTAAAGATTAAAATAAAGAAATATGAAGAGGCTACTTTTTTTAGGCTACTTTATGATTTTTATATTACTAGTGGGGGAAATAGCAGTTTAAATTGTAATTTATTAGGCAAATAACAAACTGGTCAGCATATTCAACTTTCCTTAGACTCAGAAATTGGCCATTTGAATAATAAAAAAAAAACATCTATTCATTCGTTTTCTTTTCGGCTTAGTCTCTTTATTAATCAGGGGTTGCCACAGCGGAATGAATCGCCGACTTATCCAGCATATGGTTTACGCAGCGGATCCCCTTCCAGCTGCAACCCATCACTAGGCAAACATCCACACACACACCACAACCAATTTAGGGTACCCAATTCACCTATAGCACGTCTTTGGACTATGGTGGAAACCAGAGAAAACCCACGTGAACACAGGGAGAGCATGCATTACAAACAAAACACAGAGATGCCAACTGACCCAGCCGAGGCTCGAACCAGCGACCTTTTTGCTGTGAGGCGATCATGCTACCCACAGCGCCATCGTGTCACCCACCCAAAAAAACATAATGATAATATTAATAATAATGTAGAGCTTCACGATTTTTCTAGCTTTTCTTGTAAAAAAAAAAGGAAAATTCATGGATAACAATAGCCTATTGAGTTTTAATATGGGCTGCTTTTGGGGCTTCACAAGTTTATATTGGTATTTTTTTCTTTCAAGAATGAGATCCAAGATTTAGAATAAGGGTTACTTATAAAATATTTCCTCTATAACAACAATACAGTAAAAATTGACTGGCATCAGATTTCGCTTGGTCTTAAAGCCATTTTTACGATGGGTTATTTTGATATTAGTGATGGCATAACAGTTAATATAAAACAAATAAGCTCATGGTACAAATACTGGACTTTTGTCAGTGCGGGGGTGGGTCTTTCGATCCACCCGGACCCCCCTGTCTACGGCCCTATATATGCTTTGACTTCCATATAGGATAAACCAAGTGCTTTCCTCAAAATAACTTATTTTGTGTTTAACAGAAGAAAGAAAGTCAAACGGGTTTGGAACAAGTAAAGGGTAAGTATATAATGTCAGATGTTTAATTTTGGGGTGGGCTAACCCTTTAAAGAAAAAAAAAAGACACATTTATTTGCTGAATTTTCTGATCCTTTATTAGAATTCTCCAAAAACACCAGTGCTTACACAAAAAGGAAATTGGCACTTGGAACATTCAATCAACAGTGTGATCTCAGGGAATAAAAAAACAGCTCTTAGAATGAACATAGGCTACATGTAAAATGCTTAAATTATATTTAACAAATAGAGATGTTTTGGCCATTACTCGCATCAATAAATCTAGTTCTTCTGAGCAATATATAAACATGTAGTAAATCTCTAACAGCTAATTCCATTAAAAACATCTTCTCACTTGAAATGAAAGAACCTTTTACTGAAAGGATACATATAAAAAACATTTCTCTTATTCTTAAAATATCATAAACCAGCAAAGACAAACTATAATAGTGTCAGAGTGATACTAAAATGACATACTTTCTAAGCAGATCTAATGTTTAAACTGAATTTTATGATGCATATTTGACAGGAAAAACGCAAGTTTTTTCCAAACATGTCAATCTCATTGGAAGCTCCGTTAACAGAGAGAAATCATTAAAGAAAATTCTAATTTAATTTGTTATGGAAGACTCCAAAGGCTTCAAGTTGTTCTTGAAGTCTATGGTCTATTAAACACAACTAAAGCCTAATAAAAAGCACTAAAAGCGAGAAATTGTTATTTTCTTTGGGTGACATATCATAAACAAGCCTGTGTGTCGAAACACAAAGCACTCAGGAATAAAAGTGAGCTCACAGAGCCGTGTTCAAAATATATTCAAGCTTAAACATGAACAAATACTTTAAAAGCGTAATTATAATGAAAAAAATAGACTCGAGCATCAGTTCACGATTTACGCAAGTGACCTTTGTGCGTGACAGATCTGATTATATGTACTCTATATTCGAGTTTTATCCATTTGGTACAAAAATGGCGCATAAATGAAGATACAAGACACACAAATTGTCATATAATTATGAATTACAATACAAGTAGTGCTTATGTTTATAGTGTTTCGATTTAAACGCAACCTTTTTTAACAGATTCATGATAATCGGAGCCACAGTCAATTACAAATAAACATAATAACATAAAAACAAAGATCAATAATGGTGCGTTATCATCTTCGAGTTTGGGATAAAGCATATATTAAGCATGTAAACAAAGCCTGTGGCTCCTGTGGCACATTCTTACTAGCACGAATGCTAGACCAAATGAGTGCTGCAAACAGGCATAGATATGAACACAAATACACTCTTCACACGTACGGTTCAGTCTTGCTCTGAAATAAACACAAAGATAAACCACGCTTGACATTATCTTCAAGTCTTGCTACAGCCGACAAAGTGTTATTTTAAAAACTTGTTGCTTCATGCGTCATTATAGCGTTCAGTCATAACTTACAACCCACCGAAGCTACAAACAGTCCAGCTAAAGCTTGCCATTAACTACAAGCGAGTTGGCTAAATCTTTTCCCTTATCTGTGCTTCAACAAAAACTGATCTGCAGTCTGTGCTAGCCTTTATCAACGCTGTCTACTGAGCCGGCAGCTCCATCAGCGCAAAAAGACAGCCTGTCAGGGCATTGTGGGATTGATTGTTGTGGCTGGAGCTAAAGGCCCACGAGACATAAGCAAGCCCCATAGCCAAGTAAGCAGTTTGCAATTATTTTCAATGAGAAGCAAGGACAAACCCATTCCCCCCCCC